ATTCCTAATCAGCACCATTACTGGGTCTGGTCAGTACGATATTGTTGATATGTGGATAAAGAACAAGTGAAGACAGCTGAGGATATTGAGAGGCGTTACATAACATTACCTGTGCTCAGCTGCATCATAGCAATGGAAGATACATCACTGAGTTTTATGTGGGTGGATTCGGTAATAGAAGAATTTTGTTGACTAAATAATTAGATCTCGGAATTGCCGCTCTAAAATGAAAGGAGTCGTAAATTTGGCAATTTTAGCTGTTCGAATTTGCGAGCACTTAACGTAAGTTATAACAGATTTATGGGCAGAAGTGCAATGCGGACTATCAGCAGATACCTCAAGTATGTGCCTTTTTTTGTCTTAACCATTATGAATATCTTAGTAAAATTTCATTTTTCTACCTTTTTTGGTTCCCAAGGTCGTTTTTCCGCCAAAAAGTTTGCATTTTTTGAGGCTTCGGCGCGTGGAATTCAAGCGTACTTGAATGTTAATATTAAAACGGGAGTGTCGCACGTGGGGTAGGCACATGCTGCCAAATTTTCAACTTCCTAGTTTCTCCGGTTTTCGAGTTGAAAGTGGATAAATACACAGACAACATCTTGCCAATAACCATATTATGCAAATGCAAAAACGCATAATGGCAAAAGGCTGTCTGTAGGAAGGGGGGGTCTTAACGCATTTGGCAAGAGGTTGTCTGTAGGATTCGCAGTATGTGGCGTGACTTCCGTTATTCCTCCATCCTTGTTCTGTTGTTGAAAATTTCCGTGCGATCAACTCTTGCTGCGCTAAAACTCGGCTACTGGGACTTGGAATTTTTGAGAAAGCAGTTAAGCAAAATTTCTGGTCTCAGATCTTACTTGGTGCTTCCAGAGAACATTTAGCTATGACTCGGCTTCCCCGGGAAGTTTCTGTTCTGGAAAGTGCCGGGTTCTCGAACGCAGCCACTTATTCTTGTATTTGCATCTGCATGAGAGTGTTTTTTTATGAAACGAAACAGTTCAGACCAGTGAAGTGAAGTTGGATTCACACTGTACAGCCCCTGTTTTTGTTTTAGGCGTTTGGTTTTTTTGGATATTTCTGGTATACATGAGAGCTATTTCCATAATTTTTGGAAGAATTTACGCCGTAACACTCTGCCTGAATTACGATATCTTAACCTACATTATAACCCGGTAATTCTATCATATCGTATTTTTAATGGGATTTTCCTCCGCTATCATCTTGTTGTTTTGACCTCTCATTTTTGGCACATTAGCGTAGAGGACCGGCCGGTTCAGTACTAGCGTTCCGAAAGAAAGC